AATAGTGGTGGCAGGCACAGTCCCCGGTGCCCTGGTAGTGTTTTGGCAAGCCATGCTACCCATCTGGTTCTGTAAATCTTGCAAATGGCACCTTGGTTCCTCTGGCCTGCCTCCAGTGAGGCTATGTTCTGGTCCATCCTCGTGAAATTCGCCTGGCTGGTAGTCATGAATGCCACTAGAATGTTTTTCAGCTCCGTCATCTGATTATCTGGAGTCGGAGCTGCTGCTGGCTCGACATACTGACGCTGGGGCTGCTGGAATGGTTGCCCCTGCCTAGGCTGGTAGGGCTGCTGCTATGGGACTGGCCCCTGTCTAGCCTGGAAAGGCTGCCTCTGCTGAAAACCACCAGCTGATGCAGGGAAACCAAGTGGTTTAGTGGTGTTTCTACTCCAAGAGAAATTGGGATGTTGGCACCACCCCTCATTGTACGTATTTCTGTACGGGTCGAGGCGCCGAGCATTGGCGATGAGGTCCAACTGCTCTTGGGGAGTAGAAGACTCCCTCATAGCCTGGCAGTCTTCCACCAGATGATTTGAGCTCTCACACCACTGACATTGAGCTACTGGAGGTGTAGCCAAACCTCTGCCCGAAATAAGACTGTTGGGCTGCTTCAATGTCTACACTAACTCGGCACCTGCTACTCGAGCTCGGACTTGGCCTCCATGGTGTGCACACCATGGTTCCGGGAATTTCTGTCTCTGCTGCTGTGCCCCCAAGAATGATCTCTGGCAGCCAAGGTACTGATCATCTGGTTCAGTTCCGGTGGAGTCTTAGTAAGAATGTCCCCTCCCGGGCATAGAGACTCAATCACCCTCTGGCTGTCCGGAGAGAGAGCACTGTAGAAGTTCCCACTGTGAATGCATCACTGAAACCATGATGGGGACACTGCCAGAAATATCCCATGTACCGCTCCCATGCATCACGAAGTGACTCGTCTGGCTCTTGGCTGAAGTGAGTGATCTCCCGCTGGATTTCTGTGGTCTTCAATGCTGGGTAGTACCTGTGCACTAACTTGTCGGCCAGATTGTTCCAAGAAGTGATGGACAATGGGGGCTGGGTCTCCAACCACCTCTTAGCATTCCCCGCCAGAGAATGTGGGAAGTGGTGAAGGCGGATTGCATCATCAGGGACACCGTTTAGCTCGAACCCGTTCCTCAGCTGCAGAAAACGAGAAAGATGCACCCTTGCCTCCTCATCCTTCAAGCCAAGGAACTGGATAGAGGATGTAATGAGTTGAATCCAGCATGGCTTGATCTCGAAGTTGTTTGCTGGAATAGGCGGGTAGAGGATGACCGGGCGGATGTCAGCAATCCGTGGAGTGTAGTAGTACTCCAAGGTGGGACCCAGCGGCTGTGGATGATGTGACCCCCATCTGCCTGGGGTATGGGGTTGTTCCCCAAGATCTGATTCACCAGGGGAACCTGGTGAGGATTCCCCTGGTGTGGATTGCGATCTCCTTCCATCTCGTACTCGTCCTCGGACTCGCTGCTCAAATGGCCGTCTATGCGCTCCTCCGTAGCCAATCTAGCTCACTGTTGTCTCCTGAGTTGGCGACAGGTGCGTTCAAGCTCCGGATTCAATGAGAGTAAACCTCCTGACTGGCTACGGGTCATGCACTACCAGCACACAGTCAGCAAAGCAAACCCATGAAGGCACAAGTGTGCCAAAGCAAACAATGCGAAAAGAAAAGCTAAATTAACAGAATTCACGTTTCTTCAACAACCTAGCCGTCCCCAGCAACGGCGCCAAAAACTTGAGTCCCCAGCGGGCGACTAACCTCCACCGGAGTAAACAGATTGCGGTCCTAACGAACCAAACCTCTACTACCAAAGTAAATTCGGTACAGAATAGTGAATTGGCTCCTCGACTAAAGTCGCCAATTCACTACCTTCAATCAAGGGTGCTCTATCAACCTAGGAAGATATTCTCTTTCTAGGTTAAAGCAGAAACAACAGGAATTTGAACAGGATTCATGCCATTCAATCATTCAAAACTCAATTGAATATAATCAAATCATAGAATCTGTACTTGGGTTCGTACAATCAGACCTAACATATAAATCTAGGGTTCTCCATACCCAGATGAATAAGAAAACTACTCCATAGAGAGAGATGGAAAATCTAGCTCAGATGCGGAAACCATACTGTGAAGGATGATAATCTGCTTCTGGCGCTCAATCAGATCTTCTCCAAGCTCAAGCCGGGCTCCAATGGTGATGAAGATCAAGCTAGGGCACTTGGGAACATTGGTTCATCACTTTCTCTCTCTAGGAATCGCTCTGTCTCTCTAAAACTCAGAACGCCCTTCTCCTTTGGCTCAAATCTGCCTAAAAGGCCAACCCTAGGCAAAACACGGTCGAGGGCACGGCCGTGCTTTGCTTTTGCCCGCCCGTGCCCTTGCCACGTGTTAAAAACACGGCCACATCTTGGGGAAAACACGGTCGTGCCTAAAGTTGGACACGACCGTGTTTTGAGTTAGCCCCGCCCGTGTTTTGGGCCAGCGCAGGACAATCTTGGATCAAGCCTCGGCAGTAAAAGCACGGTCCAGGAACAAGGTCGTGCTTTGATATAGGCGAGCCTGTGCTTTCGCTCCAGCTCGACCGAATGACTTCCAAATACCCCGAAACTCGTGCTTAGCCTTCCCTTCGATGTCCGGGACCTGAAATATGACAAAGTAGCACAACCCGGCGTAAAATAGGCCAAAAATACACGACTACGCCCCACAAACGGATAAGAACTAGGGGTGCAAACATGTGCAATTACATCGTTATCAACAGTACAAACCTTATGCTCGGTCCTACTTCTCTCTCTCTCTCTCCTTATTTTTGGAAAACGATGAAGAAACGAGGAAGGGCGTCGCTAGCGACGACGAGGGGAAATTAAAGGTTTGATTTTTTTTTTTTTTGCATGTGCGTTTGTTTACTATTTTCAAATCCGATTTTAGGGTTTTAGTTTTTTTATTCCTATTTTCTTGTTTGATTCCCGGTAAACCAACCTAGGGTCAAGAGGAGTTCTCGATCTGCTCTTTCTTGTTAGAACGACAACGACGACTACCTTATGACTATGGTAAGTGACTATTGAGAGTGTGCATGTTTTTATTTGGGTTTCATTTGTTGATTTAGAGTTTTCATGTATGTTTGTTTATGTGTTTTGGGTTTGGATTGGGTCGGATCTTTGAGAAAGAGAAAAAAAAGGTAAGTTGTCGCCGTCGTAAGTGTTCTTGTCTGTGCGAGTTTCTATTTCTGTGGTGTCGTGTTTTTCCTTCTGAAAATCCTCCCCCAATACAAGAGCTGAGAAGCTACTCTTATATCAAACCCGGTCACCACGTGTCGTCGTGTAATTCGCTGCCCTTGAGTTTGCTTCTGCAAGAATTCCGCCTCCCTATGCAGTCGGTTGGATAAGTTTGGGTCCTTGATTTTGGGCCGAGTTGGGCGTAGAGGGTGGAATTTGAGACTGGGTTCGAATTTGAGCCGAACGGCCCAGGTCTAGGGCTTAGTCTTGAGCTGACTGACTCTCTTTCTTTTTGCAGATCCTTTGCCAAGGAGCCAAGGTGGCTCAACCCAATTGTGTCCAAAGTCCCAATTGTTTTTGTGTCGTAATGGCTCATATAAGTACAATGTGTATTTCATTACCAATGTAATTCTCAGTGCAAATTACCATGTAAGAAACCTAATAGCATAGTATATTTTTGTCTTTATTGATTCTTGCTCCCTATATTGTAATCCATATCCAAATCTAAACCTTAAACATATTAACTTAAACATATTGCTAGTCTCAACCAATTTATTTCAAACTTCCTTTCCAAATATTATTATGATGCTACAATTAGTTTTTTTATAATTAGCATGATTGCTCCGGACAAAATGTGGTGTCTACAATACGAGTGACCTGGAAATTGATTAAGCCAATTGCCGTTGCTACATCTTCGGGCCAAAAAATCCAGGGAAATTATAAGCAAGAAGCATAGCGTGAGTGAGTTCCATGACAAGCCGGTTTTTCCGTTCGACAAGACCGTTTTTTAGAGACGCCTGGACACGATTTTTGACTCAAGATACCACGAGAGGGATAGATGTCACAAAGAGGAAAGGAAATAAACTCTCCGCTAGGATCGGATCGAATGATTTTAACAGTACGGTAAAATTGAGTATGGATCATGTTTAAAAACTCGATGGCTACATCTCGAAGGTCAGATTTAAGGTCAGATTTTAGATGAAGAAAATAAATCCATGTAAAAGGAGTGGCATGATCGATGAACAGAGAGAAATATTTGAAACCATGGTGAGAAGTTTCAGGAGCATGACCCCACATATCAGTGTGAACAATGTGAAAAGGTTCTATAATAACAGTGGTACTCGAAGGAAAAGAAGAACTGACAGTTTTGGCTTCTACACAACTAGAGCAAGAATGTTTTGCCGACAAATCAACAGAATGTTTTCCAATAAGAGACTTTTTAACCATAAATGACAGACGACTTGAGTGGGGATGCCCCAGGCGAGCATGCCACAGATCCCACTGTTTATTTGACAGACTTGAAAACACGGACCTATACTGTAGAGACTCAGAATGGCAGATTGTTCGGGATAGATGACCAGTACGAGAAGAGTCTCCAAGCTCGTCCAGATGAAAGACCTGGCCATGTTTACTCCCTCTTCCTATCTGCCTCCCCTTCTTTAAATCCTGTATCACACATCCCGTCGGGGCAAACAGAACATAACACCCTTGCTCAGTAAGCTGACCAACAGAAACTAAGTTTGGAACTAACTTGGGAACATGCATCGTCTTAGGCAAATTAATCAAGTTATTGTTTGTAACACCCCGACATTCGGGTCTAGGTTCGACCAAACGGTTCGATTGGCGGTTACGTACTAAGGGTTGCAACTATGAAGTAGTAGTAATAATAATAACTATAACAAAAATAATTATAGCCACTCATCCAAAGGGCCGAGCGCCCTCAACATAACCCTTTCATTAAATTGTTTTTTCCCCAACCAAATACTCCACGCCCCAAATTTCCCCTGCCGCCGCCGCACAAACTCTCCCCCAATTTCCCCCGGCCCTCCTCCCTCTCACTCGATCCATTTCCCCAGCGAACAAGCAATGTAAGAAATTAAATGGAAGGAGCAATCCGCAAGCATCGATCGGTGGAGTTTGGAGTTTGGACGTCGGTGCCAAACAAGTTATCCAAGGCGATTCGATTGGAGGGATCCGACTACGAACGTTGGTGGTATATATATCGGTGGGAAGCACTTGAGGAGGTTTTGATCCATGATGACATACTAAGAATCAATGGCTGTAACTACCAACGGAACCTGGCATGGCGGCAGAGTTAGGAAATCCGGGAGCTAGCGATGGAGCTTGCGTTCCCTGTTGCGTGGAAACTCGGTAAACAAAGAAGGAAGCGAAGAGAAACTGCGAGAGAGCGGAAAATAAGAGGAAGGAAGAGTCGTATGTAGAACTCGACGGCTTCAATGGTGATGCGGGATGCCGTAACGGTACTGAAAGAGATTGGAATCGAGGTAAGATCCATGTTATGCTAAGCTGGTTGGTTGTTGGTTGATGTCGATGATGATTATTAATCATTAAGGAATTGACGATGGGTCAGACTTTCACCACCCAAAACTACAAGATTTTGTGCGTGGAGCTAAATCACAATGGGTTAGAATTAGTAACTTAGTTATGGGGATCAAATAGGAGAATTGCATGACCTTGTTCGCTATATTAACTAAACATGGGAGGAATTTGGATTTGACTGGAAGGGGTGAATGTCCAGCTTAATTAAAAGATGGATCAGGTGCCAAGGGTATTTTGTTTGTCGTGTATCATTTCATGATGGAGGTTAAGGTTAGGTTACCTAAAGGCAATTGAGATGTCTATGAACACGATAAGCTTGGCAATTCGAATAACAAAGGTGTATCATGGGGCGTGTGCTACAGGAAGGAGGCACGAAGAAGTATACGAAATTCATGGGGGTATCCTCCTTTGAAAAGAAGGAGCTCGAGTTACGTTAAGGTGAGTGTAAAGGGGGTAAATTCTACGCCTTACGTATTCTTTTAAGTATTATGATTTTGAGTATTTTAGCGAATTGGTTATCGTTTCTTGGTTATGTTTATGGTTGCTTATTTGTGCTTTGCTTGAGCTATGATTTGAATTGATTTTGTTCTATTTACCTTAAATCGTTATGTTTGAGTTATGGTTAAAGTTTAAGAAACAAGTTCTTTTTAAGAAGTAACTCACCTTCAAGAAGGTGAAGTCGTTTTAAGTGTTTTTAGTCACTAGCGCCAGTCCGTTGCCTTTTGAGACATTTTGAGATAGAGCAACAGTTATGCTCTTGAGACTTTTAAGATGAGCAGCAGTTATTCTCTTGAGAATCGTGGTGAAGAGCCACCACGATAAGTTTAAGATGTTAGAGGGATGAATCGTTACGACTCCCCTAACTAAGTTTAAGTTTAAGGAAAGCCTTGATGGCTTCTCATACGTATGAGTTGGCAACCGGACTAGCTAGTGAGGGATCCCCGTGTCAGTCAAGTATTTAAGTCAAGATTTGAGCTTTAAGAGAGGAGAGTAACTTCAACTCCCTCAAAGTTTAGGAGTTAAGATTTCAAGATTGGAAGTACAAAACAACTTCCACTCAGTTAAGTAAAGTGATCAAGTATTAATAAGTTGTTAAACGTAAGGGCGTAGACTGACCCCATCTCACTCACCAGTTCGAGGAGCTAGAGGAGCAGTTAGTGAGCAGCGAGTTCGAGGGCAGCCAGCTAGAGGAGAGCAGTATAAGCGTCACGGAGGATGCTTAGTCAAGGTTTTCAGTAGCAACAAATTTAGAGATTATTAGTTATTTACATTTATGATTATGAGTACAGACTGGAGATCATTTTGGAGATTTTTAGTATTGAATTTGCCCACTTGTTAGGGCTTTTTTTTTAACTACAAGTGTATGTTTTTAGTATTTTATTTATGAAAATTTTTCCCGCTGCAATTTAAGATTTGAGTATTTTATTTGTCAAGGACTTTTTAGTAAAAGTAGTACCCGGCCGGGTTAGGATGTTTCATTGTTGACATCCCCAATAGCCTGAACTTTGAGTTTATCCCCACTAGCTACTATTAAAGACATATCCGGAACCGAATGAACTTTGGTTAACGCACACAAAATCGATTAGCCACGGGTTGTTGAAAGTTTTACCTGACCCTTGCATAGTGGCAAAGGCTACACTGATGGCGGTGGGTAATGACCGTTGAAGTGCTGCATTTACCATCTCTTCGACAGCTACGGCGGAGAGACTAGATCAGCTGCTTGCTTAAGCTCCACGTCCACCAGTAGCTTCTATGGTGTACGTGGGACATCCGCCAGGTCGTGGTCCACCAAATTCCCTACTAGTGGGACGATTATTACCATAATTCTATCTTGGCCCAGCACCATAGTAGGGACGTGAACCAGCAGCATGAGGATCAAGATATGGGCCGCCATTTCTTTGTGCATTCCGCTTTCGTGAAATACACTCCAATACTATATGGCCCATTCTTTTGCAGTAGACGCAATAGTTGCGTTGACGACAATGTTTCACAAGATGTCCCCGCTCGTGACAATGATGACAAGGGTAGAAGTAGGGACCCGTTGTTGAAATTGCGGCCTCTCCACAGCATAGGCCGATGGACGAGACCCTTAGCAGTCGTAGCAGCGGAGATAATTGCTTATCCTTCTCCAGGTTGAATATCAAGCTGAACTGAGCTTCAGTACGAAGTCGTGTCTCTTCACGTACTAGTTGCCCCAACACACCATCAAAATTCAGGTTCTCTCGGTTCAGCAGATTTGATCGGATTGACTCGAATTTGGAAAGGAGGCACATTAAAAATTGAAGCATCCGACCTTGTTGGCGTTCGGCGATAGCATCGGCAGACTCGACAGCTTGAGGGCGCAATACAACTAAGACCAAATCTTGCTCTGTTCAGATTTCTTGAGCAGCATTAAAGTATTAAGTGACACTCTTCTCTCCTTGTTCCAATCGCGCCAAAGCACATTGGATCTCAAATTGACGGGAAGCATTCACCGTCGAATAGAGTGTGGAGAGGTGTCTCCACATCCGATTAACGGTGGGAAATAGGCGAAAGCCGAGATATGTGGATGCATCAACAGACCCGAGCATCCATGTGCGGACTCTATCATCATTTTGATTCCAAGCAGCAATCACTTGGTCAGTGGCGGTACCTTCTTGAGGTTTTGTACTAGTTCCATTCAGTATCTCGAGCAGGCCCTTTCCTTCCACAAAGATGTGGAATTGGAATTCCCATAGCACGGAATTGGTTGAGGTGAGTCGCATTAGTGATCTCTCAGATTCGATTGGCTCTGATACCATGTTAACAAACTGAATAGCTGAATCAGAATAGCAAAAACAGTAAATGACACAGATTTTAACGTGGTTTCCCGGAAATCCCAGGACTAGTCCACGGAAGAGAACAAGCTCTTCAAGCACTCAAGTTCACTATCTGATTGTTGTGTTACAGATGAGAGGTGGCCAAAAGAAGCTATATACACTAGGTTAGGGTTCTACATATCATCTCCTAACCTTTCATGGGCTTGCATTGGAAAGGGCCCAAGTCCAACTATACAAATGTATACTACATCGTATGGGCTGAAAATAAAGTGAACCCCACTATTCCGCTAACACCTCAAAGAGGTCTCCAAATTCGCGTAGAAGACCGTGAAGTTTGGAGGGAACTCGTCAAAGCGGGTCTTCCAAAAATGGGGGAAAGCAGATTGTGCGGAGGTCGGGTTCCTCCTTTGCGATGCCCTTGCGTGTCATGGTGAGACCCCTGTGGTTGATGATGGACCGTAGCTTTTGGCAGTGTCCTTCCCAATCAAATTCCTTTTATATTGTATTCTAATTGCTCTGGACCGTGCCTTAAGTTTCCAGCCACTGAATACCAAGGACAACATCTAAGCTGGCGAGGTGAGGGGCGAAGAGAGTAACCGGGAATTGGGTTCCCTTCATAGTGATGGGAACATTTTCATGTCTACCGCTACATTTCATCAGGTTGTTGCTCGCTACTTTGACGTTGAAAGAGGAAATGGCAAAGATGGGAAGGCGGAGTATTTTCAGTCGTTTTGGTGTTGATGAAGTTGTGGGTCAATCTACTATCAATCAACACAATAAGTTTACTTCGGCCCACCTGGGCCCATACCTGTAGGGTCTTTCCTCTTGTCCGGCCCGTGATGGCATGGAATGAAACCTCGACTTCATCAAGAGTATCTTCTCCTCTTCGTCCAGTAGCATCATCAAGCATAGTTTGGCGCAATATAGGTGGGCATGAATTTCTCGTTGCAATTGAAGTAGAGTCGTGCTTGGCGTCGAGATGAATCTCTTCATACGGTATATGCCTGCCACCCAGCGGCGATTGGGGTCGATTGTGAGCATGTGGTTCTACCTCGACATCGAGCGGTCGTGTCGCGAAAATGGATTAGAACTTGGTCTATGGTTTTGACCTGGGTGGAGTGGTATAATCCCCTGGTGAGTTGTAGGAGCTGCGAGGCGGACTTTAGTAATGAGAAAGCTACTCATCGTGGATGCCGTCCAAGTTAATTGCTTCCTTCACAGTCCGAGAGTTGAAGATATGGAATCCATTGGCTATTTCATATTTCAAACCTCCCATAAAAAGTGTCAACCCTGTTGCTTCCATCCCCTAACACGGTTGCCGAGCTTCTCAAACTCTATATGATAATCCCAGAGGGATCTTGCCTGTTTGATCGTGCCCACACTTTAGATGAAAAGTTTTCCCAGATGATTGGAACGCCATTTGCTCGGTAAGCTCGACAGAGCCATTGCCACCATTGAGTCGTGTCACCCTCGAGGTGATGTAATGCTAGTGACACCTTTTGGACTTCCAGAATCCTTTGGAACTAAAAAATGTTGCACTCTAAAGAACCAGATGGTGGGGTCTTCTCTAGCAAAGATGGGGAACTCCAGACGAGCTAATTCATCTACAAAAAGGGGTTTGGCTTATCTCTCTTGGATCGCTTGCAGGCTAGTTGGTTTTCGTGGGTGGTGGTTTCGAGAGCTTCGATGCAATTTTCGGGAGTGTCCATACCAAGCTCTGATACCAAATGGTAAGGGTCGAAGTTGTCTTAAGATAGGGCTCCCTTTTCTTGGCAGGAGTTGGCCAAATTTTTATTTTCTAGGCTAGAACGACCTAAGACTGGAGTCTTTGTAAAACAATGCTTGCTTGTTATTTCATTCCATTATTAATTAAACACATCAACGAGTGCAAAGGGAAAACAACCTAGTCCTATCTTTGTGGAACCTTCCTACGATTACTAACAACTAACCATGAGATGCTATTACTACTCCACTTATTCTACTAATTCAAAAAGACTGTAACAGCGAACCTTGACTCATTCAACTAACAACAACATTGCTACATACCTATTACCTAGCAACACTAATTGAACTCCTACAACGACAAGCAAACTTCTCTAATATGGGCCAATTTCCCCACATAGTCACGCTAACGTCGATTGGGCTGGGTTGCTCGAGTTGAGTGGCAGATGAGAGGAATCTTCTCAGGGAGAGTCTTATCAGGTGCCATGAAAAAATCTGAATTATTCAGTTACTAAAAATATCTAAAACAATATACGTCATAAGTTTTACTAAATCTTGATCACTCATGAACAAAAGTTCTTATCAAAAGTATATAAAAAAGTCTTTAAAAGTAAACAACACAACTTATACAAGTAAGGGATTCCTAAAAAAAAGTTAATATTCAAAACACACTTCATTTTACTCTTTATTTTTTTAGATGGGAATCTAAAATTTCATTAAGCTCAGGCCAAGAAAAGCCTCTCAAACCTGTCGAGTACAAAAAACTAAAGCTGTATAGCTTCTGTAACTACAAGAAGATAAAAAATTTTATCTACTCATTTACATCATCAAGAAAATCAAGAAGCCCCTGGGTTTCTGGATCCCCCTGCATCCTGCACACAACTTCACCACGCACACCTCTAAACAACTCCATCGGAGATCTGGCAGATCTATCTCCATACAAACGTGAACAACGCTCACGCCAAACCCAGCTGAGCCCAACACACCAAAACAAGCGACAAATTTTTGACTTAACAGAGTTTCCTCACCAGTTCTGCAAGCACCAGTCAACCATATGCTCCCACTGCAAAAAAGGAGGCGGGGCATACAATCTCAAACACTTCTTCAACACAAAAACAGTATACGAGCATTGGCTCATCAAATGAATTCTATCCTCTCTACCCCCTGGACACAATAAACAAAGTCCAGAAACCATTTTCCCCCATCTCAAGAGCTTGTCTTGAGTTGTCAATCTATCATGCATAGCAAGCCACAATATAAAACCATGTCTCGGTATTATCTCCTGTCCCCAGATCAGCTTTGTCCAAGGCAGCTCAGGATCATGCTGCCTAATAGACTGCCATACTCTAGAAACTGAGTATTTTTCCATTTTTTCTCCCTGCCACAGAACATCAGGAGCAATCCCAAAAATAAACTGTGCAACTAAGCTTCTACACTTCAAAATTCTTCTCCAAATCCACATCCCTGCAGAACTAGGATCAACATCCCAAATGCCCTGCTGCTTCAATCGATACCTATACACCCATGCAACCCAGAGAGATCCTCCATTAGTTAATATGTCCCATAAGTGCCTTAAAACACACGCTTTGTTCCAAATTCCAAAATTCCTTATACCCAATCCACCTTCCAGCTTCGGTTTTGCCAGTAATTCCCAAGCCATTACAGCCTTCTTCCTTGTACCATCCTCACCAGAGTTCCAAAGAAACACATTACAGAGCTTCTCCACTTCTTTGATCACATACTGAGGCAATAAAAAAAGATTTAACCAATATTGTAAAGTACCAGTAATGACTGAGGATACCAACTGAATTCGTCCAGCATAACTAAGTGATTTTTCTCTCCAGCTCCTATCAATCAAGACTTGGCAATCCCTTCGAGAGAGCTTCCCTGTAATCAGAGGAACTCCTAGATACTTTACAGGCAAGCTTCCCAGAGGAAACTCAGAGTAAGCAGATATTCTTTCCTTCTCCTCTTGTTGAATCCCAGCACAAAACAACTGACATTTAGCAGGATTACACCTTAAACCAGAGACTGAATAGAACTTATCCATCAAGCGTCTAATTCCAGCTACCCCACGAATTGAACCATTGGTAAACATTACTAAATCATCAGCAAAACAGACATGAGTAATATGTAGCGGTTTACACCTTGGATGGAAAGGTATTTGATTATCAGTAACATCCTTCCTCACCATACAGTCCAAGAACTCCATAGCAATCACAAACAAATAAGGGGACAAAGGGTCTCCTTGCCTGAGACCCTTTTTAGCCACAATTCTGCCACATAGCCCACCATTTACAGCCACTCTAATCAAAGGAGTAGTAATGCATGCTCTAATCAACTTCATATAGCTATCAGGGAAATTCATCACAGTCATCACCTTAAACAAGAACTCCCAATCAACTGAGTCAAACGCCTTCATAAGGTCAATTTTTATAGCACATCGAGGAGTTATTACTTTCTTATGATAATCCTTCACTAATTCAGAGACCAATAAGATATTATCACTTATTGCCCTTCCTTTCACAAACGCTGACTGAGACTTGCTAATCAGTTTTGGTAATACTTTAGCCATTCTGTTTGCTAACAACTTAGAGATTCCTTTGTAAAGAACATTACAGCAAGAAATTGGCCTATAGTCCTTCATGTGTTCAGCACTAGGGATTTTAGCAATTAGAGCAAAAATAGTTGAATTCACTATGGGAGCTAAATAACCAGTAGAGAAGAACTTCAATATTACCTCTTCCACATCTTTTCCAATGATATCCCAATGAGCATTGTAGAACTCCACTGGAAAACCATCAGGCCCAGGCACCTTACCCTTCCCCATTTCAGAAAACACTTTCCTTATTTCCATCCTTGTAATCCCCTGCATAAGCTCTTCACCATCCTCAACACTCAATCTATGCTGGATGAGACTTTGGAAATACTCTATAGGGTACTGCTGAACATTTGAATCCACTGATCCTATCAATTTCGAATAGAAATCAACTGCAATTGACCCTATCCCTAGCACATCAGTCACTATGTTATTTTGGGAATCATACATTCTCGTTATCTGCTGCTTCTGATTCCTGATTTTAACAGACTTGTGAAAGAAAGAAGTGTTAGAGTCACCTTCTTGTATGTGTTGAACTCGAGATTTCTGTTTAAAGAACATCTCTTCAGCTTTCCTCAGCTCCTGACATGCTAAGTTAACCCTCTGCTCTTCCTCAACAAGAAGTGGGGAAGGGTTCTTCAAAACAGCACACTGAGCAGTTTCAAGAGCAGCTTCAGCCTCACAAACTCGACCAGATCTCTGAGTAAACCTCACGGTTAAGCTTCTTTAAACCAGTCTTCACCTTACCCAACCTGCAATAGAAAATAAAGTGTGGATAACCACTAAAAGACTTCTTCCATGCCTCCTTAATGATTGAGAGATAACGAGGATGAGCTTGCCAGAATAGAAAATATTTAAATGGCTTAGGTAGGGAACGCATCTTGGGGGCAGTAAGCAACAACAGACCACAATGATCTGAAATACCTGGGGGAATAGTGCACGCTGAACTTACAGGAAAACTATCAATCCAAGCTTCATTTATTAAAATTCTGTCAATCCTTCGTGCAATTGGATTATCCTTCTGCTTGTTCCACCATGTAAACCATGACCCTGCTACCTTGTGATCCACAACCTCCATATCCTTGAACCATTCCCTAAAATCCAGCATACTAGATGTGATTTGCTCTACATTAGAAGCTTCATTAACCTCACTGATGGCATTAAAATCACCCATGATGATCATAGGAGTAGAACTTTCCTTAAGCGCAACCAGTTCCCTATACAAAATCTTCCTCTCCACCTCATTATTAGGACTGTAAACAAACAGAACAATGAATGGGGAAATCTCACCAACCAATAACTTCATATAGTGTTCCCCTTCCACCAGGCGAGTGACTTTCAATCCAGATCTCCAGAATACCCAAACCCTTCCAGACTTTGACTTAGCATAGTTAGCTAAATGCTGCCAATCCGAAAAAATACCCTCAACTATTTTTTTGCTGTTTTCTACTAATACTCTTGTTTCCAATAAACCCACTATATCTACTTTAAGTTTCCTTAACTGATTTAACACAGCTAAGTGCTTGTCAGGAGCATTAAAACCCCTGACATTCCAACTCAGAACATTCATTTACCACGCTTCTTCCCCCCTACCACGACCTCTGGGGGGAGGAGCTTCCACCTTACTACCTGTCCGACTCTGCTGCAACCGAGGAAAAGATTTATCATCCAACAGAGCCCTCCTAAACCCTTGATTCTCACTAGATGTTCCAGCTTTGGTTTTCTGTCTGCGATTTACCACCAATGTAAATCCTTCCTCATCAATTAACCCAGATTCTGGCGGAGGAGTAACTTCCACCTGCCTTACCACTCCAACTATCTCCACCTGATCCTCAGCTGTATCCACCCTCACACTTTTATCAGCAGCAGTAACAACAACAACATTTTACTCTTTATTGTTAGAAATTCATGCAAATTTCTTTTTGATTACTCCATCAAAAAACACATTTTCCCACACAACTGCATCTTCATTAATGAAATTTATACTCTTCATCAATAGTCTATTCCTTCTCACCTTACATTTCTTTGAAAACCACATTTTACCCTATCCAAATTATAAATATTATCAATCATTCGCTATTTTCTCCCATCAATGAAATTTAAATATCCATTATCAATAATCATTCTTTATATCAATAAAGTCATTATCTCCATCACTTAATTCACTACCTCTGATATTAATAACTCTTCCTTATTCCTCTCAATTTCACTGAAAACAAAAATGTTAGTATTGTGAAAACTCATTTTTCAAGTACTTAAATTTACCTAGTATATGACATGAACGTTGTCTGAGACTGCTCTTCTTCATCCTTCATTATCTTCAACACTTTGTACCCACTTATAGGGTTCACGATGTTATTATTGGGAAGCTTGATCTGAAAATTTGACTTCATGCTCTCAATTTGTATGGGATGGGGAGGTGAAGGTTCTCTCGTTTTTTTTCCTCATTATATTTGAAGAGTTTTAAAGTAGACATTCCGAAATATCTAGTTCGCTCGCAATAAAAAACAATAAAAATAGATTAAACACTGTTAGCTATAACTCACAACTAATCCATAATCAATAAAATAACAACAATTGAGATACACTATTTGGTCGAAAAATTTATGTTTTAGTGGTTATGTTGTCTTCTCTCGAAGGGATGAACTTGAAGTTAAAACAATACAAGAGCAGAGGTAGATTGTTACCTAACCACTGTTACCTTTGATGTTGTTGTATAGTTCTTATAAAATTTCTTTGGCAAGTTTCAATTAGGGTTAATAGCATAATTTGCCCCTCTATTATCGTTTTTTCTCAAACTTGCCCCTGTACTATTTTTCACGTCAATTACCCACCTTCTCTGCTCGTCTCTTACTCTACCCAAAAGTTCCACAAACCCTAAATTTTATTCAACCAAAAAACAAGTCATCTTGCTTCCGCCTTGATATTATTAGTACTCCTTTCATCTTCCCACCATCGCTGTTTCTTGTCGTCCACCAAAATCTCTCCCTGCCCTCATCCTCCCTCCACTTGGCAGCGCCATTATGGCCTTCTCCTTCCTCCTAATCCTCGTCGCCTACTACCGCAAACTTATCATCGATTTTGCTCGGGGCTTGAGTCTAGGGGCAATTCCTTGAGTCTAGGGGCGAAGAATTGACCGAATCGGAGAGCAATAACGGCGCAACGGTGGGGGAAAGATTGTGGATCTGTGATGCTAACCAAAAGCATGACTATCATAGGTTTGAGGATTTCAGATTGGGGCTGACCGGTCAAAGAGCTTATTCATAGCTCTAGTCTCCATGGTGCGTCGTAGATGGCAGACAGAGAGACCCGCGAAGGCGGGTGACGAGGCTGATGATTTCTTTTTGTATTTTTTTATTGTTGTTTCAATTTAATAACTTTTAAAAATATGTGGAGGGCAAAATTGTCATTAAACCTTGACCTAGACTTGGTTCGACATTGGTTCATAGCGTTTGGATGGAAAACTTAACAGAAGGGTACGTTGGAGAACATGACAATAGTAGAAGGGCATACTTGATGTGAAAAATAGTAGAGGGGCATGTTTGAGAAATAACAATAGTAGAGGGGCAATTTATACTATTAACCTTTCAATTAATATTGTTTTTATAATCAATTTTTTTAAAATCCGAATTGAAACGAATGAGATATAGTTCGCTGAATTTGCGAGAAGTTGAAAAACCCCTTAACTATAGCTCTTGGAATTTATACTAGCGGTAATTAAAGAAAGTTATGCATAAAAAATCCTATCTCTTTTACTAGGTTGTGATCCACATTTCATCATTATAAAAGAAAACTAATACCTAAAAGAAGAATTGAGAAATAAACTAATAATTATATAAACAATCACTAACAATTATATTCATAAACCACCTCACCTTTATCAATTCTGATTTACGCATTGGATTGTTTTTTATATGTTTTATGAAAAACCTCAAATCTTTTTTTTTTAGAAAAAAAACTCAAATCTAATGTTATAATTGAAAAATATTTTATTTTAAGTTAAGTTATTAAAAATTAGTTAAGGAGCAAAAGTCACTAAGAATTTGTCTCACACACTTAACCTTATAATAAAAGAAAGCGTACAGCTTCACCATGACTTACACAAAACGGTCGACCGGGACAATGTAGCGGTCGACCAGTTTCACCAACGTAGGCAATCTGGTGGAAGGCAGCAGCCGACCACAATCTTGAAAAGGTCAACCATTTAAAGGGACTCAAAAGCAAAAAAGGTCGACCATTCCTCTAACGATGTAGACCATATCAGAAAAGAGGTAAACCATTTAAATGGAAAGGTCAACCTGAAAGAATAATCCACTTGAAATCATAGAGGTGAATAAGATGAATGTTGGTATACGGTCGACCGTTATAATTAATAGATCGATCGCTGGAAAATGAGATGACAATCTTTTCAAATGTTGCTTATTTAGGTTGCCTCTATGTTTTTACCGGTCGTCAACATTGCACTCATAATGTCACGCACTTATTGAATCCAGTATACTATTGAGAAATTCATAAATTCAATCCAGAATCAAAGTAGCAGATAACCGTAACTTCTTAACAACATAAGTAGTAACACCAAAACACAATAAACATATGTCACAATAGTTCACACATATATGAAATAGAAACCCACAACGACTTGATATCAATTAGCAATCACACGTGTTTTAATCCAAATCGTCTTAAAGGTTTAACAAATCGCACGAAAAGACAAAGCACAATGTAATTCATGGAGTTCCTTGAACTTTCTCCTCGCACTCATTTTCATTTTCCTGATTGGTGCTGCTAAAATTTGGATATTCAGATGTGGTAGGATTCATATCTCTTCCACTTAAATATTGGAACTCATCTCGGATCTCAGTTACAGCCGCTTGGAGTTTTCTCATGTGGTTGGTTATCTGCCCTTATAATCATTCATGTCATTCATGCGATTCCATATAGCATTGAAGGTGGCTGGTGGAGTTGAAACCTTTGGTTGCGTCATTGAATCATTCTCGGGCTCTTCATCTGTCTCATCATTGTCTTCATTAGGATTAATGTTCGGTTGAACATACCCACACTACAAAATTAAGAAGAATTGGGGACAAGAGGTAGGGACGACTATTATAATTTGTCTTAGGAAATAAAAAACAACTTTTAATTAATGTGTAGAAAGTTTTAGTTGTCCCCATAGAAGAGAGTTTCGGAAAAGTAGAAACGCATAAGATTGATTTGGAAAAAAGATTGTGTGTGATTCACCATTATCGCCCAATCTTTATTTAGTACTGGCGGATTTGAACCAAAGTTAAACACTTAAATACTTAATTAATAAGATTCCTCAATTGAGTCCAATTCCCTATTTGCATACGAATTGTTCCTTGGACCAAAAAAAGTAACAAACGTAAATCTATAAACACTTCAAGGCTTCAAGATATCTCAACCATTTATTTATATAAACATCAATCTCAAACGTCCATGTAAGTTTAAATAACAACATAAACCCTAGCTCTTATTCCAGATTTCAATCTTCTCCTTTTCTCGGTCGTATCGTCATCTATCCCTTCCTTTCTGTTCAGCCTCTGCGTTTCTCACTTGGCAATGGCGTCGACACTCCTTATTCATTGTCCACCCGCGCTCAGTTCTCCTCTTCAATAATGGACGCCCAGCAGTGGTAGGATTTAGATTATTTCATTTCCTCCTTGTTTTAGGACTTTAATACACCGTTAGCTTTAGATCTATCTTTCTTCGACATGTTTCTTTCGTTTTCTCTTCTAGAATCACCGACGACAATGAAGTCATATGAGAGATTGCGAATGTTGCTCGGGTGATGCTACGCCGGAGAGGTATCTGTGCGGCGTTTCGGTAACGGGAACGATTGAGAATGATAGTACAAGCACCGGCAAACATGTTTTCTATTGTGACTTTTGTGTAATTTTTCTCTTTTTCTATTTGTTCTGTTTGTAAATTAAAAGTACAAACAAATTAGAATTTTTTTCCGTAGATAAAACAATTGCAATGTATTATTATTATTATTATTATTATTATTATTATTATTATTATTATTATTATTATTATTTCCAATTATGGATAAGTTCAATTGAGATGGCGTATTAATCCTATAAAGAGAAAATGAGACATCATATTGTCCCCAAATACCATTTGGCAGAAGCCTCATAATTGTTGAGGAGACGATTTTTAGACTTAGATTTGATATCTAAAGGAACGACATTTCGACCCTATAGAAAGAAATGGGGATGATATATTATCCCCATATAAGCCCAACACAATCATGAAATCGATTATGTGGGACAATAGTTTGTCCCTGGAAATGATGCTCAGGGGACGACTTATTGTCGTTACAGTTATAACTATAGAGACGACATGTTGTCTTTCATAAAAAAAAAACGAGATGACAACTTGCGAGTATTGGGGACGACCTAGATATTTGTCGTCCCCAAAAAAATAGAGGACAAGAGTATAGGGAACCACGTATTGGGGACGACTGAATTGTCCCCCAAAACTATAGGGACGATTTTTCCTATTTCCGAGGACGATTTTTGTTGTCCCCAAACCTCCTATTTTTTGTAGTGCCACCGTCATGCAGCTCAAATTTCATCTTCTTAAATCTTAAGTGATGAAACTGTACTGCATTTTAACTCTTAAAACAACATTACCACTTATATCCACATTAAAAGCCTCAAATATCATAGTCAAGATCATCTCATTGGAAGAATCATGTTTTCATTCTCTACAGCAACAATCATATGTTTGAAAATCATATATGGCAAGTTCACCCGTTCATGGAAAAGCAGGTGAGTGAGAAGCTCCATATCAAAATAACAATTATGTAAAAAACTGTATAATTCCAATTAGGGGTGGGCAACGGGCGGGTTGGGTGGGTTTTGGTCTCAAATTGACCCACCCGCTTTCTAGTGGGTTGGAATAATTGTGACCCGCAATCCACCCACATACTTCTGCGGGTTGGGTTGGGTTGGGTGGGTGGCAGATGGGTGCAGTTGGGTTGCAGGTCAACCCGTAAAAGCAATCTCCAACTAACCATTAAGAAAGTCGACTAACATTTATAATAGGTTCACAGCAAATTAGTAAGACTGTATCAACAATTTGTGATTTTGATACAATTAATAATTTATAGTTTGCATCCCAATATTTAATGGTTATAACAATAATCTGCATACCAATATTCAATATGTAATGGATATTGCACAACACAATGACCAATTATAGTAGTCAAAACTATTATTTATTCTTTAGGTAACCAGTTCGTGGAGCGGGAACGGGAGTGGGAGCGAGAGCGAGAGCGAAAGCGTGAGAGCGTCCATATTATAAATTTTCCATAATAAGAGTGTGATGAGAGCGCTATTATAATGTTATTATAATTATTTTTTATATTTACAATATAATTAGTATCGAAATAGTACATACCATAACAATAAATAAAATTAATATTGAAAATTTGAATGATGAAAAATGGTTGAATTCGTTAAAATATAGCTCTACTATAAATCTTTAAAAACATTTCTCTGCTCTCTATTTGTGGATTGTGTCATTGTGATTAATAATAATTAAAAAATTAATCATTTAATTTCTCACTTATTTATTCTTTCTTTTTGAATGACTTTTTCCCATTATCTCTATACAACTACACCTACCACATATCCTTCACTTTCTCTCTTCCCTATCTGACTCTCTCTCCTCCCCAACCCAGAGCACGATGAAGCTCTGTTTTTTCTTTCTTCTCTTCTGACGATCAAAGAGTTGATTTCTTTCTTTATGCATGTAGCTTTTCCTCCCTAAGATATCAACCTAGATCAGCAAATCCACAAAATATGGCCCTCGATATCTCTTCTCTCATTGGCTCTCTCCCCTCTCCGCCGACCATGAGAAGCAAGATAAATCTCTGTTTTTGCTTCTTTTTTTTCAATCGGAGTATTCCTCTCTTCGCTATGCATGTAAATTTTGCAATAGTACAAAACTAAGGTTGTGTTGAATGGCCCTCGATTCACGGCGGCAGTAGAAGGCGATAGAACTTCCGACCGGCCAGGGAGATGAGTTATTTCTCTTGCATGTCGTGAAACACAAATGATTAGAAGATCCACGGTTTTTCAACTATAATTCGCGCTCCCATTGATTATAATTCGCGAATTATTAACGCTCCAAGGAGAAATCGTGTTTTCACGCTCTCGCGCGGGAGCGGGGAAGGCCTCCGGACGAATTGGGCGACCTAATTTATTCTCCACCTTTTGATTGTCAGACTGTAGTGCAGTTCGAAAATATGATGAATATTCGATACTATAAGAAACAACATTTTTTTATGTAAAAATAGGATGAGGGTTATATGGGTGACCCGCAATCCACCCACCACCCACCCATATAAGTGCGGGTGGGAGATTTACCAAGCAGCAATCCACCCACATCAATCACCCACTTCATATGAGTCGGATTATTTGCGGTTGGATTGATATCAATCCGCGGATTAACCACCCATGTGCCCACCCCTAATTCCAATAACTCAATTCGTTGCGATAAATTTAAGTATTCTTTATACCATTTATTAACACTCATTATCTACATCTAGTCTAGTAATTAAAAAGACATAAATGGATGAAAAGAAATAAAACAATAATTTTCAAACGGATGGTGAAATTATGTCAAAGTGAGCGGTCCCAGTAACCCGGACCACCCAGCCAGCTGCGTCCTCTTCACATCAATGATCAAACACATCCGCCGCACACTCCCCCCGTCTCATCCCCTGTCCTCCAATTTATCTAGGTCCGGAAAACCCTCAACTCCCTCTCCGTCAGATTAATCCACCGCTCTCATCACCACCGTAAGCCTCCCCATTCCCCACCCGTAGAGGTAGAACTCACCACACCCAATCACTTCTCTCTCCCATCCCAACCATGAAACAAACAAAAAGCACACCGAGCGAGCGATAAGCAGCAACAGAGTACGGCGCTAATTGATGAAGGCAGGCCACAGCTGTCTTCCAATCCGAATTCAATTTACCCTCCTCGCACCATCTTCTCCGCACTTTCCCTTCTTCCTTCCTCTCTCTCTCTCTCTCGCTCGCTAGCAAGCAAGCAAGTAGCAACCCATTCCTCTGAAACAATGGCAGCCAGCAGAACCCGTACCCTATTTCTCCTCCTCCTCTTGCTCGCCGGATCTTTCAATTTGATCGCATCGGCGGCGGGTAGCGAGGGACTGATGACCGCTGTTGCTTCCGAGGAATGGCCCATCGCGATGTCCATCTACGGCGGCGGCGAGGCGGAGCCGGATGGCGATGTGGATTTGGAGGACGGAGTTTCGGTCGATTGGGACGGAGAAGAAGGAGGAGGTGGGAGCGGTAGCAACAGGAGGTCGCTGTTCTGGAGGAGATGGCCTTACTACATCTCGTACGGAGCCCTGCTGGCGAACCGGATCCCGTGCCCGGCGAGATCTGGGAGGTCCTACTACACCAACAATTGCTACAAGGCTCGCACCCCGGTCAACCCTTACTCCCGCGGCTGCTCCAGAATCACCCGCTGCAGGGCATAAAAGCTGGGAATTCTTGAGTGAGTGAAATTTCCCAGCCAGTGCCAAAATCTGTTTGTTTGTTTTCTCTGCGTGGTGGTGTATTGTAATTTCTTGCTGGTTATATATGTTTAATGTAATGATTAATATTTTTTTGTTGTTGTAAGTTACTGGATTTCTAGTGAATGATTAGAGAAAGCAGGCGATGAAATTCTTTAGATTTTGTGAGGATGGTTTTATTATTATTATTGTGATTATAGTAATGGTAATGATTAATAATGAGTAACTGATCAGTAAACTGTAGGTCTTGTGATGGATTTGCAAGCACAGCAGGGTGGTTCTGTACTTGTCCTCTCTTATAAATTAATCACATGGGGTTAGGGATTAGTGCAATATTCTTGAGTTAGTATTATCTGGGATGCGTCCTCCTAATGCCATGGGTAGGATTTAGGTCACACAATTCGCCAAACTACCCCTGTTCCCGCTCTAAGGCTAACTTCAATGGAGCCTCTATAAATGGGGGAGCCTCTATATTTGGGGAAAAGTTGGCTCCAATAGAGCCTCTATAAATGGAGGAGTCTCTATATTTGGGGAGATCTCCAAAAGGATCCCCAAATTTGGGGGAGGAAATGGGGGTTCCCCCAAATATAGAGACTCCCCAAAGCCCGCCACGTGGCGTTTTTTTTTTCTTTTTAAGATTTTAAGGGTTAATTGGGGTTTAATTAGGAGATTAGTTAGGGGTTTAATTAGATCAATCATTTTTTGTCAACGAAAATTTGATCTCAAAATTAAAAAAATTTCTACCGGAAAATTTGTATTTAAAAATGATGACGAACTATAAAAAATTAACATGAGCAAATTATATTAAAACTTCGATAAGTACATTTTTAAGTAAATGGAAAACTTAAAAAATGGGGATCTCCAAATATAGAGGATGTAACATTGGAGCAAAAGAAGGGAAAATGGGGATGAACCCCAAATTTAGGTATCTTCATCCCAAAAACGCGATTTCATCCTAATTCGTCAATAATTCACGAATTATCCTGAGCTGGAGTGCGAATTATATTTGTTGAATCGCGAATTTCTCTGATTCCTCATGCATCCCAGTTTTCGTGAATGGGATGTAGGTGCTCTTCTCAACGGTGACCTCGGCGCCGCCTCCCTCTGTTGTCAGCTCGACAATTGGGGGAATCAGTTGGAATTTCGGTCTGTCATCGATGAATAGCTCGTCGTCCCACCACTCTGCAAACATGCATTAGTTAGCCGGTGACTTCTGGTGGTGGCGGGTGAAGAAGAAGGAGATGGAGGAGTTGCGGCAGAGTTGGATTGTGGAGATGAGATTTGGGGAAATTGCGTCGATCATGGATGGGAAGGTTGATTACTAGCAGGTCGGTGGTTTCGGGCTGAGTTTCGTTTTCGAGTCTTGTCTATTTGCTGTAGGGATTTATTACTCTGCTAGTGCGAGAAGAAGAAAGCGGAAGGAAGAAGAAGGAAAGGTGATTTAGGGGTCGTTTGGATGAGTCTTTTTGACGAGGCAATGTGATCCAATTGGCTCAAAATGAGACAATTGGAACAAATTAACCCATTTGGCTGGATAAAATGAAAACGGAACAATTTGGAGTGGGGGAATTAAAATTGCACCGTTATGGGGCAATTGAGAATACCTAGGGTGGGGGTAGATATTCTCAATTAACGCGTTTTCATTCCCACCTTCCAATTCTGACCCTTTTTCACCCCTTCTCTCTCTCCAGAGACAACCCATCCCTTTCCTTTCTCTGCAAAAATTAAACCCTTCCTCCTCTCTTCTTCTCTTTCCTTTTTCTCTCTTGGCAAACAATCTGCTGAACAAATCTTCTCCCTTCTCCTCTAGTTCCTCCTTTTCTCTCTTGCGGACAATATAACGACGACGAAAGGGAAGCTTGATTGTTTCGTTCTTTTTACGAGAACCCATCTGATAAAGGGTAAAGTTTGTCGATGAAGAGGGAAGAGAGGACCTGGGTTTGTTGCTCGATTGGGATTGCGATTTTGAATATTCAGAAATCAATTGGGAGTTCTGCATGTAATTGAGTTGTGGGTCGATCTGGATTCTTTTTATTTTTCGATAGGTTTTTCATCAATTCAGTCAAGCTTAGGTTCAAATTTTGGATGCTCTACTATTAGGGGGTTTCATTTTATTCAGGGGAAATCGATTGCTTGATTGGTAGCCTTCTCCCTGGGTTTGGGGTTGTTTTCCGTTGCTCTGTTTCTTAATTAGGGGGATCTATGAGGAAAAAGGCTTCTTCTTCTTACTTTGCCTTCTTTCTCCTCTTCGTCTTAATCTCTGACTCTGTAAAAAATTTCCATTTTGTTTTGTGGGTAGAGGTGGCAATTGGATCGGATTCGTGGATTGGATTGGTGGATCCATGGATCAAATGGATTGGATCCAATGCATTGGTGGATTGATGGATTGGATCAAATGGATTGGTGGATTGATCCATGAATCCAAATGATATCAAAGACTTGGACCAAAATGTAAATTTTGAAAAGTTTAGGTACTAAAATGTCGTAATGAAAAATTTTAGGTACCAAAATGTAATTTTCCAATGATATTTTCGTATAAAAATATAAATTTTAGGTGCCAAAATGTAAAATATAAAAAATACAGGTACCAAATCGTAATTTGCCATTTGGATTCATGGATTGATCCATGAATCCACCAATCCAATTGGATTTGGATCAAATGGATTGGATTTAAATGGATTGGATTAAGTGGATAATTTGGTGGATGGATTGGATTGGATTCATGGATTTGGATCCTAATTGCCACCTCTATTTGTGGGTATGATAGCAGAAACTGATTGCATGTGAGGGATATGGTGAATCCGAGAGGATTTAAGTATAATTTTGAAAATGAGGAACTCGACAGAAAGAAACCCAGAAGCAGGGACGAAAAAATTGCGGTAAACAAGAGCGAGAAACTTGGAGAAGATAAGGATAAATTGGTATTTCACCAAATTGACTCACCAGAATTTCTCCATCTCACAGTCTATACCAAACGACACATTCTTGGCAGATTTCCTCACCAGATTGACTCATTTTCTAAAATGGATCTTTTGATCCAAATTGCCTCATTTTGGGAATGACCCATCCAAACGACCCCTTAGGGATTTATTTTTTTCTAGTGGAAGTGGAGTGTGCGGCTGAGAGTTTGTACTTTGTAGGGAATCGATCGTGCCTGGGCTAGGACTAGATGGCCAGGTGGGCTTATAAATTTCATTGACAAGTCTTGCAAGCCTAATTTAATTCTATGACAAGCCCATTCAAATTTTTGTTCCATCACATTATTAACAATTTTATTATATGTTATTTAGTAATTGGGTTATAAATCTAATTAAAATTAATATAATAATGACGCTCTTTTCACGCTTTCAATATTGAATTCTTCTAAAATTGCCGCTCTCCCGCTCTCCCTCCCGTTCCCGCTCCGCGAACTTGTAACCTAAGGTAAGATACGGTGATTACCCTCAAAAGGGTTTGATTTTTGACATCCCTTTCCTATTGGTCCATTTTTTCTTAATTATTTGGTAAGTATTAATGAAAGTTGTAGAATTTAACACTCACATTAAATACACATTGGGAATTAAATACCCTATATTAATTACTTGCTTTTCTTTAAATTTAAACATATACTAAACACAATTCTCTCTCAAAAAAAAAAACAAATAATTCTTCTTCTCTCCTCCCTCTCATCATATGCTTTCGCCGTTATGATTTTACGATTTCTGATTTTTCATATCTGACTTTTCGATTTTTCAGTTATGATTTTTGTATCACTGCACTGATATTTGTACCACTGCACTTAAACTCATATATGATATTTTATACCAGTGCACTGATAGCGTTACCAATGCACTGGTAGAGATCCCACTACACTGGTAGCGATATCAGTGCACTGGTACAAATATCATATCTGAATTTAAATGTAGTGGTAGAAATATCAGTGCAGTGGTACAACGTATCACTGCACTTATACATTTTTTTAATGTAACGATACATTTTTCCGGGTGGCCGGAGGAAGTCTGCCGGCGGTATTTCAACGGAGAAGTGTGGCGGTCGGAGGCTGCTGGAAAAAGGAAGAATGAGAGATAGGGAGAGAGAATTGTATTTAATGTAGGTTTAAATTAAAAAAAAAACAACTATACAAATAATTAATATGGTGCATTTAATTCTCTATGTATATTTAATATGAGTGTTAAAAATATATGGATTACATTCAATATCAAATGGGTGTCATTTTTCCTAACCCTTTATGGGGTTAGCAAGCTAACCATCCCTAATGCCATCTCATGTATTGCTCAAACACTTGGGCAGGTTTGACTTTGAGACTGCAAGCAACAGGAAGGAAAGTGAGTTATTATTATAAGATTTAAGAATGCTGTGGATTTTGAAACAGACGGCAAAATGGATGCTGGGTGGTGAATTGAGGAATGTTGGGATGGCGATTGAATCTATTCAATTCCATTCAACCGGTTAAGGCAGGATAAAATTGGTGTTGATAGGTTTTGGTGGATTTTATTGCCTTTGAAATTGTTGGATTGGTTGAGTTTGATTTTCCTAAAGTTCTACCCGCTTTCCATCTGACCGATACACTAAAAGTAAAATCACGGCATTTTGTATCTAACATGAAGATTATGAATAATTTATGAATATTATTAGTTTTTATGACAATATAAACTTAACAATATGGATCATTTATGGCTCTAATGATGAAGTGGAAAGAAGAGTTACATACTCTGAGCTGGCTAAGGTCAAGGTTTGCAGTCATCCATGGATAGTTGGGGGGGGGGGGGGATTTTAATGCAGTATTAAAGCCTGAGGAAGTCTCCAAAAGATGTGATTCTACTAGTTGTATGGGAGATTTTGGAAACTGGGTTGATTCAATGGAACTGGTGAATCACAGAGTGATTGGCCCTCAATTTACGTGGACTAATAATCAAGCTAGCAGCCCTCTTGCCAAAAAGTTGGATCGTGCACTAGTGAATGAAAAGTGGTTTGATCTATTCCCAGATTGTCGAATTGATGTTATAGATGTACATTTTTCAAATCATTGTGGGATTTTGGTGGCATCGAAACCAGCTCAGAAATCCCTTCCCAAACCTTTTAAGTATTTTGATTTTTGGGCGGATAGCCCTGAATTTCTGCCTCTTGTTAGCAGAGCTTGGGATACACAGATGGATGAACATCCCCTCCAACGAGTTAGGATGAAACTTACTGCAGTCAAGAAGGCTCTGAAGCAGCTGAATAAAGAGAAATTTGTGGACATTAGTGTAAAG